ATTCAGGGGGGATCACCCCTTCGCTCTCTTATAAAATACGCCCATGGTCCACATTCGTACACAAATCATTATCCTACACTTACAACAATTTTTTTCAAGGTGATGCAGGCAACATGTTTTCTCGATCAAAACATCACCGTGTATATTAATTGGTTTTCCAATTTTTTTGTTTAAGTATATTTTTATTATAGACAGGTATGGAATAAAAAACTTAATGTCAAATTCGTATTTCTATATCCTTAACCGGATAGGATACATAACTCTTGAATTTATCATTTGTATTTAATCGTGAATAACTATTTATAAATATTGTGATATTTATTATATTATTATTATTATTATGTTTCATTATCGCATTAGGTTTCCACGACGGTCGACCCGGGCGATTAGGAATGACTTAGGAATCTATCAGCAAATTTCAATTTTGGTATCACCCTTGAAAGCATTTTAATCGATAAATTAGTATTCGGATTAAAATCGGGGAAAATAAAGGACAGGATTTGTGAGGAAAAATCAACAGAAGAAACAATTTTTTTTCAAATTGTCGAAATCGCACTTGCAAAAGAAACAATTAGGGATATTTCATTAAAAACAACACATGTCGTCGGCGGAGTACAAAAACATGGGTTTGAGTCACGGGAATCACGAAGTTTGAATAAAATAAAAAAAAGCATGGGACCAAGAAGCGCGGACACAGGGGCATTTTCAATCAACGAGTAGCAGCAAACATTTAAAGAGCAAGGATCAAGGAGTCATTGCTGTACCAAAGGTAAATCTAGTTTGCGGTAAATGACACACGGGTATTCAAAATTGTAAATATAAAAATTATCGTTGTAATCTTTGTAGTTGTATAGGACATTTAGCGGTATTGTGTAATAAGTCTAAGAGTACGAATTTTTTTAACTATCGAGAAGGTAGAGAAGGATGTATATGAGAGCTTAATTTTGAACATAGAAACGAACGATTCAAAACTTATTATAATAAACGTAAAAATAAATAATATAAGATTAAAGGCATAGTAAGATTCAGGTTCAGGTTTAACAGTCATTTCGGAAAAAATTTTCTACGAATTATTTGATAAAAATACGATTCTAAAAAAGGTTTTTAAAAATGTTAATGGTTATACTGTTGAAAAAATAAATATATTGGGTTTTTTTTCACAAACATTAATTTTAAAGATAAAACTTTCGAAGATTTTAAAATATATATAGTGAAAAAAGGAAGTTCGAATTTATTAGGTAGAGATTTTATGGTAAAATTTAATATAAAATTAACTAATATCAACGCTACGCCTATTTTTTATAAGCCAAGACAAATTCCTTTTGCATTTAAGGAACAGATGGAAGAGCAGTTATGTGGATTGGAGAAGTTAGGTATAATTTCCCAGGTGGAGTCGAGTGAATGGGGAAGTCCATTAGTACTGATTTTAAAGGGTGATGGGAAAATTAGAATATATACGGATTATAAAGTTATGGTAAATATGTTTGTTCAGGAGGTAAAATATCTATTACCAAGAATCGAAGAAATATTTTAAAAAGTGAGTAAAAGAAAAGAGTTTGGTAAAATTAACCTGAGTGAAGCGTATAACCAATTAGAGTTAGATGAAGAATCTTCGAGAATATTAACGTGGAGCATCCATAAAGGACTTTTTAAAGTACACCGATTGCCATATGGTGTTTCACCAGCTAGTTTTATATTTCAAAAACTAATCGAACAACTTTTTCAAGGTCATGAGTGTGTAGTTAACTTTTTCGATGATATTATAATAACCGGACAAGACCGAGCAGAGCATTTGAATAATTTTGATAAGGTATTTAACATTTTATGCAAAGCTGGTTTAAAAGCTAAATTATCTAAGTGTGAATTTTTCAAAAGTGATATAGAGTATTTAGGTCACATTATTTCAGCGGTAGGTTTACGGAAATGCGAAAATAAAATTAAAGTGATTGTAGACGCACCAGCGCCTCATAATTTAACACAAGTCAAATTAATTGCGAGTATGGTAAATTATTATTCTAGATTCTTACCCAACGATTCGATTATTATGAGGACTATTTATAAATTATTAACGAAAAATAAGCAGTTTTATTGGACTCGGGACTGTCAAAGAACAAATTAAGGAACTGGTTATTTCAGATAAAGTTTTAGTACATTTTAACACAAATTTCTCTATTAATTTGACGACTGATGGATCTAAAGACGATATCGCAGGTTGTTTATTACATACAATTCCGGATAGAAATGATCGATCGATTAGTTTTATTTTGAGAACATTTGTGGCAGCGGAAAATAATTATTCTGTTACAGATAAAGAGGCTTTAGCAATTTATTGGTCGGTTAAGAAATTATTTCAATATCTCCAAAACCAAAGATTCATTATCAGAACTGATCATAAACCTCTCATTGTGATTTTAGGCGAGGACAAAAATATACCAACTACCTTACATCGGTAAGATTTCAGAGATGAGCAGTTTTTCAATATACACTAGAGTACATTAAAGGGAACAATAATTACACGTCATATTTACTTTTAAGGTTACCTACGAGTATAAAGGAGAATATTATGTCGAAAAACAGTGAACCGCAAAGCACATATATTTCATTTATAGAGTTTGAATATTTTCCGATAAATCATAATACAATTAAATTACGAACTAATAGAGATAAAATTATTAGTAAAGTTTATTATTATGTGATCCATGGATGGCCTAAATTGGTCAGTGATGATTTAAAACCATACAAGGACAAACACACTGATTTATCTGTTGAACAAGGGTGTTTGATGTTAGGGTATAGGGTAGTAATACCAAACAAATCACGTAAAAGTATTCTAGACGAATTACATAGCACACATCTTGTGGTAGTGAAAATGAAGGCAGTTGCGAGATCGTATGTTTGATGGCCCAAAATTGACGAACAAATAGAAAATATAGTTAAATCCGGTGATAATTGTTTGCGTTTCAGAAAAAATCCTAAAAAGTCACAATTAATACCACGGAGCAGACCGAGCGGGGTATGGCAGAGGATACACATAGATTTTTTTGGACCTTATCACAATAGTTACATTTCAGTTGTTATAGATACATTTTCAAAGTGGTTGGAAGTAGAAAAAATGAAAAGTAAGGTAAAATGTAAAATATAACAACGGACAACACCATTTTTGAATTGCGAGAGGTTTTTGGTGGATGGGGGTTAATTTTAACGTTAGTTTTGGATAATGGAACTCAATTGACTTAGAATAAATTCATTACGTTTTTAAAAAGTAATGGCATAGTACATTTGCGCACAGCTCCGGGACATCCTATTACAAATGGTGCGGTTGAAAATGCAGTTACAACAACTAAACATGCATTGTCGGCAGTATTAGCGGATCAAAAAAATAAAAATATATCCAAGTCAGTTATATTAAATAAATTCCTACCAGAATATAGAAATATATTTATTTTACTGGGTTGGTAAATAATAGACAGCCTAAAAACATTACAAATATCATGGTTGTGGCTTGTGTAAGATTTGAAAAGAAGGACCACGTTTGTATCTAATAACGGTTATTACAATAAATTAGTATATATTTGATCGTTTTTATATATCTCTGATCACATTTACGGGTTTGCTTACTATACACATGTGTGTGGTCGTTGAAAGGGTCATCTAATTTATTATAATAGCCATTATACCTAACCGTATTTATATCATACTTATTATTATTATATCTTTTTTCAATAGCGATATTCTAAAAAAGCTATAATAATTTCTCTCACGAAACGACTTTTTTGAAATGTTATGGAAATCAAAATTTCAAAAGTTATTTTTCCATGTCGGGTTAAGTTTTAATTTTAAATCGCATATTTGTATTATTATCATTACAGCTAATTTTGTAAGAACAATATTATTTTAAACGTAAGTAGTTTCCAAACTTTCTGGTTCATCTATAGATGGCAGACACGTGCATTGTGTATATTCAGTATAGCTTTCTAAATCAACGCCGATACGATTGTACGTTAATAGTATAATTTCATCGGTCATTACATCGGGCCATGCCATCTGGTATACCGGAGTAATAATATATGTATACATCACATGGACTGAGTATAATTAATATTAAATGCAAAACACGAAAAAAGAGTAATACGTATTAACTTGGTCTAAAAAAAAAAATTAATAAAAAAATGGCAAGTTTTAAGTACTAGACGTGTGTCGTAGAATATATAGTCCAGGAGCGATTTCGCGTATTCTGCGATTACAGAAAAGTCGATATGCACATCTATCTGATCCATTACAACGTTCCGAGTGTAATATGAATGCGTTTGGTATTATTGAACGCAGTATTTTCTGGTTTCCAATATTTGAATTGCATACAGCATTAAAACCGCAGTCCAAACAACTATGTTTTTAAAGTAAATCTTTGTTTTATTTATATACATGTTTTTTTGTTCTTTCAATCGTTCAGAGAATTGTAAAATATTAAAAACAATAAATTTGAATCAAATTCTGTACTGAAATAGTCAGATATCATTTAAGTTATGCGGGAAAACAAAAAAGAACTTATTTTTTATAATATGAGTAATTATTCATATGTGTACCAATACACTAAACAATGGGTACTTTCGTATACTGGGCAATTTACAACATGGTATCTCGGTTAGATCACAACTCGGTGCCCAAGCATTTGTAATGAAAGACATTTTTGGGCTGGACGGTTGATTAACGAATCTTTGTCCAATGGTCATTAAAGTTCTTTAACAAAAGTCAATATTAAAGAAAACTTTTGAGGTCGTTAAGAGTTCACAAATGACATGTTGTCACGGGATCGGTCGAGACATCGTATCAAAAACAGTTTTTGTTGACACGAGCTGTTACAATTTAATATTGAAAAAAACTAGACCGTAAACTTATTTAACACATCAATACATGGCGTTTTTATTTACAATAATAATAATAATATTAATAATAATATAATATAATAATAATGATGATGATAATTATAATAATAATAATAATAATAATAATAATAATAATAATAATAATAATATGATTCGTTTAACAACAACAATATTGTACAACACGTCAACATCAGTTAATTCTGTTGAGCATAATCGTTCAAAAAATAGGTAACCATGTTCCCTTTTCCTTTCACTTCGATGACACCGCGGCAGGTCAACGGGTATCCTTTCAACTTCAATATTTCGTACACTTCGTCGGTAACCTGAAAACGAGTTGGTAACGGCGGATTATACAGAGTAAAAACGTTTATAGTGTGGTAACATACAGTGAGACGCGCTCAAGAAGGTTAGGGGTAGCAGCCAACTCGGGGTGATTGGGTCATGATCATTTAGGTATTAAGGTGAAACTACTAAATCACAAGGTGGGAATAGACTAAAAATACCTGTAGACAGTTGAAATCGTGTATCTACTTAAAATTTTTCTAAAGTGTGTATTCGTGTTTCTAGATTTGTGACGACATTACGAATTTGACAATCCGGAAGTGCTCGGTACTGTCATTACAATAAAACACCAGTTTGATGGGCTGTGTAGGTACCAGTTTGATCTCGATATCTCTGTTCAAAAATCAGAGCACGCCCCGTTAACATGTATTGTTTTATATGCGTAAAACAGAGGCTTGCACAAGCGAATGGGATTTCTCGAGTGGGACGGAGGAAGAGTTCCATGAGACGCGGATTTCTTTAAAATTTAAAAGTAATCAAGGTTCATTACATTTGAAAAATGATACCGAACGAAACTCGGTTTACCACATCAAGCGTACAAAGTATAAGTTTACCAAAACAGTTTCTTAGTATCAAGACTTTTGAGATATTTTAAGAACAACTTAATGCTTATGTATATATGCATAACATTATTTTATAGTTGTATTAAAACATCAAGCCTGATTGATTACATTAAAAAAATATAAATATAATTTTTATACAAAAAAAACTTTTGAAACTAATCGTACTTCAAATTTTATAAGCTTTCATAAAATAATATGCACATTCAAGTATATTTTTATTTAAATGCCTCAAGGGCAAAGGGTTTTAAATAAATTAAAACTAATTATTTTTAAATAGAATCAATACGAAATCATAATTATAAGTAGTTAATATGTACATAAAAATTATATATTGTAACAATATATTATAGTAAAAGCTGTTAAATTGATATGATTAAGGATAAATTTATTAATTTTGAAAAATGTCTAAGAAATCTATGGAATTGACATAATTTATGATTGAAAATATTTCAAAAGCTTACGAGGAAAATCATTATGAAAGTATTGTAGAGAGAAAACATATAATAATATAAATATACAAGTATTTATACTCAATTTTCAAGTCCCATAAATTAAATTAATAAACTTAAATCTTAAATCTTCAGAAATATAAATAGATCTACCAGAACTTTTCATTTTGGAATTATTCTTACAATAGCAATGGTATATCATGGGTACTAAGTTTCACAGCCCAAAATCCATTCCTTTATTTCACCAGACCATGTAACCTGCATGGTTGGGTATAAACGAGTTAAAAGTTAAAATTAAGTTAAAACCTTAAGTTAATTAACTAGTTACTTTTTTTACAAATTAATTTTTTAACTTCATAAGTTACTTTTTTTTAAAGATTAACGTGTTAGCTTTAAGTTAATTTTATTTAAAAGTATCTAAATTAAGTTAATTTTAGTGCAAAGAATAATGCAAATTAATAAATGAGGTTTTTAATATGAATTTCCTGTAGATGAAAATAATATGAAAGATAACTTTAATAGTCATTAAATGTGGTATATTTTTTCATATTTTTATAACATTGTTATTGTATAAATACTATAAACCCATGGGAACCCTAAGAATATTCTGTGAAAATTATAAATACCATGAGAGCGAGTGTCGATGGAGGATTAATCACAAAACGATTGTGGTATAATTTCCAATTTAATTTCATTATTAAAATTGTGAATTGATTTGAATATGAGTTCAGGACTAAGATTTATTTTAGAAAATTAGGTTTTTTGATAGCTAGTTAATACTCTTATGTATCATTTTAAATTTCTCCAGTAATTTTCTTGCACGTAAAAAAACTAATATTATGTATGCAATTTTTTATTTTTGCAAATTAGAAAATTTTAACTTTGAACTAAGTTAAGTTACCTTTTTTTTTCAAAATTTACTTTTAACTTAACGAGTCAACAAAAAAATAAAAGTAACTTTTAATTCAGCTTAACTTTATTATTTTTAAATAATTTAACAAGTTAAAAAGAATTGTTAAATTACCCAGCCTTGGTAGCTGGATCAATTTATTTAATTAATTTATCATTAAAAGTTATAAGAATTAATAAAGTAATTATTAATTTTTGAGACAAAATAATCAAAATGAATTATATTAGCAATCACATTAATGTTTGAAACGTTGCTGTTTTTGGTAGATTGCAAAACGATTGAAAAATAATCTTTTTAAAGTACTAGTTGAATACATTTCCCAAAACATGAAATTATATTCGTAAAAATCGTATTGTTTTGCATGACTATTTATTAAAAATCTAAAATAATTAAATTGAAAAGTTACATATTAAACATTAACGTTTTAAAATTGTAATATAGTAATGAATAAAAAAAAAAAAATTAATTAATTTTTGAAATTTAAATTAAGTGAGGAATGCTTATCAATGAATTAAGCACATAGTCTATATTTGATTTTATGTAAAAATATCAAATCAATTTGATGTTTAAAAAAATAAAAACTAATGATGTTTTTATTTTATATAAATTTTCCGTAAAATAAAAAGGGTCAAACAAACACTGAAGTCTAAATATAGAAAACACCTAAGATATTGATATTAAATTAATTAATAAATTTACTTGTATTTCATTCAACACTCCTGTGGAGTCCATTCGGCTGGCTACATTAACGGCGTTGCCCCAAATATCATATTGCGGTTTTCTAGCTCCTATAACTCCTGCCACCACTGGACCGATATTTATGCCTGCGAATATCATAAACATTAATTAGTGTTTAAAGACGTGCGGTCCTGTTGAATTAATTTGCGATTATTTGGTAAACGTCAATCGATTATTGCAGTTGTTGTTGTGTACTTATAGCGGTTGAAAATAGTATCAAGTAATTTATGAAAAAGATGATGTAAATTTAAAAAAATAAATATTTAAGTTAACATGATAAATTATTAAAAAGCTATTGAAACGTATAAAATAAAAACATTTTCCAAGCAGAAATAACACTAACATCAGCAGAAAAAGACAGCATAAAATACTAACCGTACACACGTCGTACTTAATATTTAATTATAATGGATGTATTAATGAGTACGCTCGGATTATGAATTTTTAAATGGTCTTCAAAAATAATAGTTAATATTTAATTTAAAAATCTTGTTTTGGGATTTGTCTGGATATCTCGGATCGCCTACAGGGTTGATGTAATATCATTGATATTTGGGTTGAAGTGTGTATGGGACTTTCTTTTGTTTATTTTTTTTTTTTTTTTTTGTTTAGCCCACGTTCACACGTTTTGATTCGGTTATATTTTATCGTGAAAAACGAGGTGGTTAATAGAAAACTCGATTCACATCGTTGAAGACGTAGTTCGTGATATTTTTGTTACAGGAAAAAAATAATATTACTGAAATTTCGTACTCCAAGTGTTTTTAAGTGTAATATAACGGGTATAAGATGAAAATAAACGGAAAATGTTCGAATTTAATCGGAAGGAATTAGAAAATGTTCATCTATAGTAGTACCATACTGCGTGATTGTTACGTTTATAATTCAAGAGTAATTTTTAATCAAATATTTTCAAGTTGTATTCGTTCAGGTTTAATAACACTTGAGACGGTAATAACTTGAATGTTTAACATTAACATCATATAATATTTATAGGACCCGGACGCGCTTAAACGTTCTGTACAAAACCGCGAGCCAAAGGGGGTTTAGACGAGTTTCGCTACCGATTTACATGTTTTTACGCCAAAAGTGATTTAAAAGCGCACAAACATATTTGATCGCAATCGAAACGAGATGAAAACATTAAAAAGCGACACGGGACGGACACTAATAATAGATTCACGGTCCGAACCGGAAAAATCTTCTCGGAAACATTACGCAATACCGCGCATCCGGTGTTTTGCGCACAATGACCGGAATAAATTATACGTTCGAGCAGACGCTCCGTAGGACCTTCTAGGAAATCGGAAAGAGTAGAAATGACGCGCGCAGATGTACGACATGTATTAACATAATTTTATATTCGAAAACGGAATCCACAACGTCCTGCGCGAGTCCAAAGGTTCTCGTGTCTTAAAATTAATACGCGCGAGATAATTTGCGGTGTAATTTGTACGGGGATGAGAGATCAAGAGGATGCTCTCGAGTGTCGACCCACAAGGAGAAATAAGTCAATACTCACGGACCGAACTGTAACCCGTAACAATAACCACGAGATTTCGGAAAAAGAAACACGTTAAGAAATCGGATCAAAAAAATCTTTTGCACATTTGCAGGTAATATTATTTTATAACCTGCGTTGACAAGGCAATTGTAAAGGATAGTTAGCATCGTTACAGTTATAAATCGACGTTTGACGCATTGACATTATAAATTTACTTAGTTTTTAGATAAAATTTGAACATCCCACCCGTCTCACATTTGATAAGATCCCAAAAAGTTTTCCGTTATAACGGTGGGGGGGGGGAGAACCGTTCACCTACTAGCACGTACCTATTCTGATGCGGAAGTTGTTGAACGAGTGCTCGTTGACGTAGGCCAACTGCTCGCGCAGGCGGAGCGCGTAGTCAGCCATGGCGGTGACGTGCGTGTACTGTTTGCTGTCGCACGTGTTCCTGGTCAGCCCGGACGCGGCCATGTATGTGGCGCCGGTCGACTTGATCTTCTCGATGCACTGGAAACGCGGCTCGCCCAGCAGCTCGTCGAAGTCCGCGATGATCTCGTTCAGCAGCCGCAGGCATTCCACACCCTCGTTGTTCGCCTCTAGCTCTACGTAGAACTCGGAGAAGTTCGGTATGGATGCGAACATTATGCAAACGCTGTCGCACTGCTCGTGGTACAGCTCCTGGTGGGCAAAATGAAGCGGAAACGGTGATTAGCAGAAGGAGAAGGAGGAGGAGACGCGCAGGGCTGCATTCAGTGCATGGCACGGGCCAGGGTCGCGAATTTCAACACTACTTATGTAATATTTTTCACGAAATACGAAAAAGATGTAGTTAAAACAATTTCATTCGACAATGACATTGATAAATTTGCCTCTACAAAAGCAGTAAGAAAACTACCATTGTAATATTGTACCAAACAAATTTAAAATCATCTAACACAATTGTCAAACAAAAACATTTGAAGAAAATTACATGTATTTATAATATATTGATTGTTTATATTTCAAAGTAATACAAATAGTTATTAAAGTTTATTAGCAATTATTACCTTGCATACTATGTTTTTATACATGCTTTATACATCTTAAATTATGTTTTGTAAAAAAATGCAAATTTCCCATCGAGGGGGGGGGGCCTATATACAGTGATTCACCAGGAGCGCCACCCCAGACCTCAATACGGTCCTGAGGAGACGCAAAATATGAACAAGACATTCGAAAGCGTGCGCGGGACTACGGCCCTAATTAGTTTATTACTCAGAAACTTTTACCTAACAGATCAGGTGTATTCTTACAGTTTCCTACGTAGTCACCATTTAAGCTGATACATTTTTCCCAACGACGGAGTAACTAGAAAACGTCATCTCGGAAATACGCAGCACAATTTCCATCGCAGTATTTGCTAACTTGACTTGCTCCTCATCTGGAAAATGAGTTTCTACTAAGTTTTTTTTTTAATGGACCAAAAAACAAAACAATCCCGGGGTTATACAGTTGACGTCGTAATACTTTTCACGTATATTTTTTCAGTTAAGCTTTGATTTTTCCCGCTGAATGTGAGGTTCCATTGTCGTGCAGCATTTTCACATTTCCTAAGCGTAATGCCTTTTTTTTCTTGAAACGAATTTTTCTTTCAAATTTTTTAACGTTTCAATGCGTTGGAGTTACCATTGATCGTTTCACTTTTTGATAATGATTATTTTCAAAATGATTAGGAAAGTAATGAACGCAGTTAACGAATACTTCGATGGAAAATGTGCTGTGTATCAATTTAAATGGTGACTATGTAGAAAAATAGAAGAATACCTATGTTATATTTATGGTTTTTAAAAAGTTTTAAAGTAATAAATTTATTTTTTATCTTTTAGTATATTTTTGTATCTTATTTGTCAGACAGCTCTCGTATTAGTTAATCGACGTTAAATGGGCATTTGTAAGCCTAATAAAAATGTTAAAAATATATAGATTATGATTTATTAGTATGTATGTTCTACAATAATCGTTATTAATTAGCAGACATTTTTATTTGAAGTACCTGATCATGGTGAAAAATATCAAAATCAATTAAGTAATTGAAGAATTTATAATAATTGTTACATACGATATTCGCCCAGTTTTATAAATATTTTTAATCATTTAATAATATTCTTTTGATTTATAAAACTTTAATATGAATCAATTATAGTACATTGAAGAAGAAAAATGTTTTTGTTGAAATATTAGACATTTTAAATTAAAGGTATAAAAATAAAACAGCTTAAGAGATTTCGTAAATTTAAAAAAAAATTAACAGGGAAAAATAAATTTTAGCTTCAATATTATTACTTTAATTGCATTTTTAGGATTAAAAATTAAAGAATGAATCTTTAACTTCTTTTCATCTCTACCTGCCCCCATAAATGATGTGGTGATATGTATATCTGAATTAATTGAGTTATATAACCTAGTCTAATGAAAATATCTAGTTCAACCTATGGTAGTATGCTTAAGTGCACACAGAAATCTAAATAAGTTAAATATATATTTTCATTTATAAATAAAGTATTTATATATTATGTACATAATTTGGTGCCTTAAATTTTAATATCAACAATCTCAACAATACGTTCTAGAGAAACTAAAGTACGGACACAACGGTGATAATATATGTTCCAAACTTCTATATTTAGAAATTTAAAAATTACAAAATGACTACACACATTAATGCTCGATAAAATACAGTAGGATCGATCGTCCTTTGAAATTGTAAAGCATTAAGTATATAGCTATAATAGTTCCTATTGAAAAGTTACGGATTCCAAACTAAAACTTCAATTGGACCGATAGACCCGTCTTTCGGAAATGCATTATTATGCTTACACGAAGAAAAAAAAATACGTTTTACGATTCCTTTTAACAAAACAATATGAAAAAGTACAACGTTATTACAATTATCTGTTACAATTGAATTACAAGTTATTTAAATTGGTCATTGCAATGATTTTGAACTTTTCGCGAGATGAGGGAAACCGATGAGAATCCTTTTTTTTTTATTCGATCACGTCCCGGTTTGGCTGCATGCTTGATATTTGCATTTTGGATCCAACTGGTGTACATTGGTCGATGATTGCTCGTCGGAGCACGGTAGGAGGAAGAGCGATAATCGTGATCGTCCGGTTGGGTGCGGAGTGTCGGTTGGCCGATGTGACATTACCGAGAGCGGATAGCGCGAAGTAAGGATCGCGACACGATATGTTATTAAAACACAAAACATTCCGAACTTGTGCACAATGCAATGCACTCCATTAAGTGTCAAGTACGTTTTGGTGGAAATGAATTCGCTGTAAATGTAACCGAGTACTATTCATTGCGTTTCTCGTGTCAGACCTTGTCACGTGACCGTACCGCGGACCGTATCATTAGAGTGGTCGAAAAGGTCGGTTTCTGTCTTATACATATGTAACTCCGAGTAAATGTCAACTCGGTGTATCTCTGTGTACCTGTCAGAATGTTTAACATTTTTTTTTTCGGTCGCTAATCACCGTCGATCACAACAAAACCGTGCTTTACTCTAAGTTTTCTTTTACCCGCGGTGAAAACGTTTCGTTCCATACTCAACTCTTCGAACCTCCTAAAACGATGTAGCGGATGTGATCGTTCAGAAACACCTTCGAGCTATAACGTTACATATTACACTGATATATTACCGAGATGAAAAGTATAGTTATACTGACTGCATAATAAAACGAACTGCGAATCTCACAACGAATTAAAACCTAACGTTTGTTTGCAATGGCTCCGGGTGTGCACAAAAATATAACAAATTTCATTAGGGACAAGTTGTCAAGATCCTTAGGCGTAGCCAGACTTCACGTTCAGGGTATGCAAGAAAACTAAGTGAACTTATAAAAAAAAACAGCTGTCTCCAGAAATGTAAAATATAAACTGTTATTTCCATAGGTGCTCAGTTATATACTCTGCGGCCCTCTGGCTACGCCTATGTGTGGATCCCACTACGTGCCCGAATAGTTGTGATATCATTATAATATCAACATTACTTAAGCCTATAAGTAAGTCGTCGACTGTATACCAAATAGGAATCAATATATTTTTCCAAAAATCATCAGTTAATGAAATTTGCTCAAACTCGGATATTCAGGGGACACTCGTATTTTTTTTTTTTTATCACTGAAGTTCTAATTTTATAACTTTTCGGTTACATGCAGCAAATAAACAATCTGTTCGGCAAAATGAACGCACGCGGATTGCCTAGGTATCACATTAAGGTGTTTTTTTCTTTCATTTTTTGTTGAATTGAATTGCTTTCTGTTTTAGCCCCGAAGGTGTTTATCGTTTCCGTTGTACAAGGTAATTGCGCAGGGAAGAGACTGGCAGGGCTAGTCGTGCAATTTAAGAAAAAAATAACAACAATGAACTTGGCTGTTATTTTTCTAATTTTTTCAATCGAGTAAATGTGTCGTGATTGTTATTTATGAACGCCGGAGAACGGAAAATGAAAGCTCTCTGATGTATCTCTTATTCCAATTTGGTAAATCATCAATTGGGTTAGAGTTTCCTCCTTATTTTGTTTGTCTTAGAAACTTTTATCGTCAAACACCGAAATATTCCTTAGTTTAGAATAATATACTTCTTAAAAAGTAGGCAAGTGGTGTTTAAAATAAAACACATTGTCAATGCATTTCAATATAAAGTTTAAGTCGAGAGGTAATGAATTCATTAGCCATTTCTCTCTCTTTTTTTTTAATATTATTCATAATTTTAATAGAAATTTAAATCTATTGTATGGTTTATTACATAGGTGTGCTGCACTAACCGCTTAAAATCGTTTTTTAGTAAAAATGAATTAATTACCGACCAGAGCCTGGAATAAAGTTTTTCCCAAAATGAGGTCGCGTGTTATGGTTTTTAACTTACGAAATTTTTTTTAAATAATTAAACATATTATCCCACATTAATTAACAACAAACCTCCCTCTCCAAAATAATCACACACCTTTGGGAGTATTTTATTTGAATTTCATAAAAATTAAATCATAGCTTTACCAGTTTTTAAATGATTGATTATATTTAAAATATAACAGTGGTAATTCAACTAAAAACTTTAACAATTAAGACAAATGGATTTTCTAGTAATTAAAGCACATACAGTTATAAGGGTTTTCACTACAAATTTATAGCCGTAATAATTAGATATTTTTTGAATAAATAAAGAAGTTCTATTGATAATTCATTAAATTATGATTTTTGGTCAATCATTTTAGTATAATATTGGACTGCTAGACAAATTATTTCATTTTAGTGTTTAAGTATTTGATTTTTGTGTTGCATTATACCTATATATTTCTAAGTTTTTAGGTTATTAAATAAAATGTTAGACATTATATTTTACCCAAGGAATCAAAATTAAATTTATGAAAAATCAAAAATGTCATATTATCATTTTTAGCTTTGTTATATTGTAATCATTTATCATATAAAATAATACTTACGTCAACGGGCTTATCTAAAGTCAAAAAATGATCGGCCACGTGAACAGGAAGAATATTTGCTAAAAGTTTACGGTTGTAAGCTTCCAAGTGTTCCATATCTTCTTTTTCTTCTGTAAATTAATTATGATTTATCACAATACGTAACTAACACCGATAATGGCAATATAAAATTGATTTCTAACCCGTTGCCTGCAGTTTCCAAAGGAAATCTAGCCTAGAAGTCACTTCGGTCTGTTGTGCTTGTAGAATTAACGCGACAATCAGTCCCATCATGACGACAAACATAAAAATACGAATCCAAAAAGATTCTTCAATCGGCCTGCAACGAAAGTTGATGATAATAATAATAATCATAATAGTTTATCATACAAAACACGTCGTGAAACAATATTATTCGTATTAACAGATCGATTATGCGTATAAGTGATTAAGTGTTAACGTATGCGTAACATTGCATAACCGTCATGTAATGTACCTTTATAGGAAGTAATCACCAGGCATAATATTATTATACGGTAATATTAATTAATCAATCATTTGTAGGTAATATTATAATCCATTAGCTGTATACGAGTCCTAATTGACAACGGAGGATCATAAATCAAAATCGCCGAACGATATGTGTTAAACTATATTACTCAGTTGCTGATCGCAATTATTATTAAATTATCTTTATACCGGAAAAACAAGCTATAGCTAGTTATATGTTACAATTAAAAATTTAGATTTTTTTGTTTATTTGATATAATTAGGTATTTTTGTTTTAAATTAAGCTCGTTGTGTGCTTTATTTATTTTTCGTCGTATTTATTCCAAAAAATAAAACATCACGTTGTCGTTATTAACTTTTAAGCTTTATTGGTTGCAGTAGCATATTATATTTTTTATAAAATGCTTCAAGCAAAAATAATCCAACAAGAAAAATGTACGACCGTTTTAGCAAGTTATACAATGAGGTAGTAACGTTTTATGAAACGTCATTATTTAGAAACAACATACAAATTCAATAAAAAGGTCACTAAATAAAATTTGTTCAAATATTATTGATATTTCCAATTTCAGTTATAGAGCGAGTACAGCGAAAAACCAAGAGATGGTACCGGAAATTTGTTTTTTTATTTAATGTTTCTAAAAAAATACTAGGAACATTACCCGTATTATCCGAAAAAAATATCGGCCAATTAAATTCTTATTATCAAGCAGAGTTAAAAACGAACGTTTAAAAAAATATCGATGCGTAAAAACGAAAATAACATGAACGAAAAGAAAACACTGAAGATAATGAAGATACGCAGTTGTTAGGGTTCAAAAAGATATAAAAAAAAAAAAAAAAATAATAAATAAATAAATAAAAATGAAAAATGTGTATCGATTACGGTAAAATAAGTTCGTTAAAAACATTTTTTTGAAGCATCACAAATAAGTTAATAACTGTCGTTCGCTGTTGTGTATCGTGCAAACCACACAGTAGTTTTTTAAAAATTTAATTACGGCACAGTACTGTAGTACGATAATTAATTAATCGGTGCCTGTAATTTGATCAGTTTTGAGTCACGACTTCGCAAATTGCGGATATTAGTACACAATAAAAAAAAAAAAAAATAAATAAATAAATAAAAAAAACGTAAAGTTTATCGACATACCCGAAGCAACCCATCACATCTGTTTATAGCCCATTTGTGCCCGAAATATTTTTAATAAAAACCGTGTAACGATGCCAAACTATATTATTTCATGATTGCGCATTTACTATGATATTGTTTACCAATTTAACTAATTTTAGTTTTAACGTTACATCCTTATCAATATTATCGAATATCGGTCCATTTTATCTTAACCGCAGTTCATAACAATTCTCACTTCTATCTGTGAACCTTACAGTCAATTTACTTAGGAGTATTTTAAAATATCAAATACGAGTACTACTAAAAATCATGAGTGTTTAGTTTTTCGAAACTTTAAATTTCACTTTAGTAGAAATTTGGTTACGGGAGATATAAATTGGCGATGCGTTATACAAAAAAAAAAAATCATTCAAAATCAACACTATTCGATATTAAAGACTTACACAATTACGAACCGAATACTAATGAAGATTTAAACTTGCTGGTAGTTAGAGAAAATCCATAAATAATATGGTAATGTTTTATTCGAAATGGGCGCATATGGGTCATAAATCGACAGGCAGTACCTTATATTTCGGGTGCAACTATCCACATCTATCGGGGCACAAATGGGTCGGCGTTTATTAGTTGGATCCCGAAGACCCTCATTTAATCTAGTGATGTCCCAGAATTTTTCAGGTAATACACTTGTTGGGTCTCATAGTTTTACAATGTAGTTCTAGTCGGGTCCATTAAAAAAAAATATTCACTTTTTCATTTTTACAGATTTAGAATTGAGTCACCTATACATTTTAACACAGGTATGATTATTTTTTTTAAGTTTGTAATATATGGCATATAATTATTAATTGAAAATTAGAATACTGGTATATGGTATTAAAAAAATTAAAAATTTACAAAATTGATAAAATTTTAAATGAGAGAGCTTTTACAAACTCAAATCTATTAATTTTTTAGCATTATTAAGCGTATCAATACTTGAAGTTACAGGTTTTATTGTCGTATTGGTCGGACCAAACTAATATGTTATGGTTTTATAGTGGGACCGAACTCGTATGTTATCGTTTTTATGATTGGACCCAATTAGTTGTTTATCTTTATTATAAATATTATCTGGGACCCAACTCGAATATGCCACTCCGGTGTGCAAATGGATTGTACCTCCCGATGCTTTAAATTGTCGCGGGTATAAAAAAAAAACTGATGACATCTGTATAGTGTTGTATACGATGATGTATTTTTATTCATATGATTCCAAAAAAAATCTAATAAAGTGGCAAAGTCTATCATAACATGTTTTGGCGAACAACACTACATCTAGTATTACATTGGAAAGTCGAAACGTAGATCCAAATAAAAAAATTACGCCATCTAGGTATACATGCATCATCACGGGTCACCTAAGGTCAAGCCTATATAACAGACCTGGAAACTAAAGCTAAGGGGCAGAGTCTACCAGGTAGACCAGTTATCAACATTGTGTCGTTTTGATTCAAGTTAAAAGAGTTGTTAATTTTATTAAATAAATATCATAGTTGCCCATTTAAAGTGTTTTATCGAATTAACAAAAACGAACCATGAAAATAGTAAAATAAAATATATGGGGACGGACACTGGTAAATTTTTATTTGACTTCGAATGAGACGATTTTCACAATACATTTTTATCTTATCAATATTTATGGCAAATTTGGCATAAACTGTCGGTGTAAATGTATTGTATGTCATTATTTGTGTGCTACACACGTAGTCGAAAAACTGATCCAATTTTGAGCAGCATGGTTTTAATATTGGTCATCATCATTTCATTTACACCTATTTTATACGAATTATTGTACGTAAACTTGATTTTATGTTGCGAACAATTCGCAAGCAGATGTTTTAGTTTTAGTTTAGTAACGTGGCTGAACAGAAACAGAAACCAATTAGGTCGTAATATAATGGCGATAGTAGAAATACGGGAGCTGGTTCGGTACCAGTCTTGTGGTCAAGTTAACAGAAAATGTTGATGGTTATGTACAGAATCCAAAACTCTAGACACGGGAACATTGTCATGTGGATACGTCTTACACATAGAATAAACGAGTATGACACACAACCGTTCCCCTAAACGATTTGGTTGTCAAAATGAAATCATAGTATCAATCGATTCTGCTTTTATTAAAATGTTTGCACTACATACATATATAACACAATGAATTTATTATGACAACTGATTCGTCGTCAGGGAAACGATGAATATTTTACCCGTTTATACTTTTCACTCGACGAGTGTGACATCCGGCGTGACGTTTCGTAAAATAAGTTAGCATGAATCCTCCTCGGTGATAAGACATATCCATGTTAAAAATTAAATCACACATGTTATTATTGTTAATTTACGATATCTGGTTTTCTTAGAGAATGATACGGTGCAACACAGAAATATTATGTTTAAGCTTATATGTTAGGTGAAAATATCTTAATATATTGTATAAAACTGTATAGATCACAGTGTTGTACATCAGGGGTGACCAACCGGTCGATCGTGAGATAAATTCGAGTCGATCGCGACAATCTTTCATATTTTCTTGAATTTTTGATTTTTTTTTTTTTTTTTTTTTTGTTTATCCCGCGAATATAAAAATTAGATTTAGAAAAATATAATATATAACTATGAAAAACGAGATTATACATTTATTTATCGAGTAACTATCGTATAGTCAGAGGAACATTGTACTCGTACGTACCACGCTTGTACATACAATAGATAGGGTGTTTCAAAAAGAATACAGGATTTAAATCTGCTATAAATTTAATTTATATCTTTAAAAAAAACATAGCAAATATGCAAATATATCATTCTCATCAGAAGAAATTAAGGTTTAACAGTGAAAATCAATACTGGGCATATGACACTACCTACTAGCCCTACTGGCGATTATTCTTTCCCTTGTTTTACATATATAACCAAAAAATTATCTAGATAAGATAATATGTAACTATTTAAATATTTATCTGAATAATTGATAAAATATAACTACATTTATTTAGATAAAAAACAGATAATTTTAAAAAATTCCATCATTCAAAAGTTACATTTATAAAATGGTTATTTTTCTATAAACAAAAAAATGAATTATTAATTATGATTTATTTGGTTTAAAATAATTCTCTTTAATTAGTTAATTTAGGACACAAAATAAGTAAATAAATCGTTTTTTATTTTTATAAACTAAAATGTTTTAAACATAAAAATTATACAATAGTATAAATAAACTATTTTTATTTATTTTAATATAATATTAGTAATTTAATTATTTAATATAATATCAGTTTGCAATTAAAATATTAAAATTATAGTATATAAGTATTAAAATTTATCAATCAGATTGAATTATTTAGATAATTTATCTCAGACAACCATTTTATTTAAAAAGATGGATAAAAAGATACTTCAAATTATTTTTATCAAGATAAGATAAAAAGTTAAATGTTTTTATCTAGATAAATTATCAACATAATACACAACATTGATAAATCTACTATTATTATTAAAATTACCGTGTGTTATGATTTTGCCGTTACCTTGAAAACATATTATTTAACGTTATGTGTTCACATTAGATATATTATGCATAGAAAATATTATCCGTAAAGTTGCGTAAATAATTTTATCATTAAGCAAGCGAGCTTCATAATATAGCAGTTACACTACACTCCGATAATCCAACCAGATGACGTAATACAGCTGTTTTTGATTTTTTGTACACCCCGTCGAGTGCTTAATGATTTTTTATTCACCAGGATTTTCACTGTACAGACAGCGCTGTATCATGGTTTTGATTTTTCGACCTTATATGTGATAGTATTGATTATACAAATTCTATATTGTTTACTGTATTTATAATTAAGTATAGGATACGAGTAAATTACAATTGACAAGCATCACATATTTTCATAGGCATGTTTAAACTTTTTAAGCTGGTCGAAAAATATACAAATGCCATACTGGGTAAACAAAAAGGAAATAAAGTTGTTCTTAATTCCTACAATAATTCTAATACATTCTTTTGTCTAACCTTAAACTAGCATTAATTGATAGTAAAATTAAAGTAAAATTATGAAAGTCGTGCCTGTACATGAGAGGCACGACCCGTGGACACGCATGTGTATACTTCCATCTGGATAGGAAAACACGACTTTAGTGCCGATCACTATTATGCCCACAGCTTATACACATCATTCGTGTTCATCAAATTGAATTCGTCAGGGTCGTCCACGTCAAACGAACGTGATCTTAGAAGATCGTTGATGTCGTACGATGTTAAAAAACGTACAACACAAGTTGTTTATTGTAATGTCGTTATTGAAAATACAATTTTAACGATATGCAGAAACCGTCCATGGTACCGTCTCGTTTGGTTTACAGTGCAAGTCACGATCGACTATCAGTAGTTATTGATAAACACTGGCATCATCAACACGACAGTTGGACTATATGCCGTGGTGTCTCCTATAATGGATTCAAAATTTATCACAAAGTCTAACCTTTGTTGACGTGGCACTTGATTCAATACCATTGTCATTTGCGTATTCTTCCACACCCATCACTGTTATCAAACACCTCTAGTTTCTCATCTTCAAGTTAATGAATTTTAACGGTTTTACAAAATAAACGGTAAAGTATTACATTTGTGTTTATGAAATGTGTCGTTCTGAGTCATAAGATCTTATACTATAAGGCCTTTCATGACATTATAATTATTAAGATCCTATACCAAATCAAAATATTAACTCTTCAATAGAAAACAATTACTAGGTATATTAAATTATATATCTCGGAAATATTAATCAAAACTTTTTCTACGACGTTGTAAAATTAAAAACACTGTTGAATCAAATTATATAAATATAACACATAGTTCCGTTTTAAGTTGTTTCTTATTAAAACTATTTTTCCTTTTATTATTATAATTTAATACTAATAATTTCTTCTGTTCAAACCTCTTTTAATTTAGACGATGTTGCTAATTTACGTAGGTACGCTGATATTTGTTTTTTGTCGAAATTAGTAAATAATTTAATTTCTTTTTTCGAATTATTATAGTCATTTTTACTTTCATGTACCTAAATATCAATCATGTTTTTGTCTCACGTTTAAAATTTCATTTCATCGCACATTTTATGGTTAAAATAATCCTTTTGATCCTTTTAATATTAGAGATTTATATTCATCTAACCCATGTTTTTCTATAATATAATTTTATTTTATTGTTTCTTATATAGATAATTGTTAAGTATATGTTTTCTTTAAACTATATTTGATTTATATTATAAATATCATATTATTGTATTAATGTTAGTTAAATTGCATTTTCTTACTATACTTGAGCCCTAATAGTCATTTATTCAAATTAACAAATAAATTTAAATTAAGATTAAAATATCGTTACAAGTAATATACATACAGCTTATATTTTTAACGTTCTGTAGTTTCTTCCTCAAACTATATTAATTAAAAAAATAACCAAGTATTTAGGTTATTATATTTGTATTTTGTGGTATTCTATCACTTATAGTTCAAGAGAGTTTTAAAATATTATTTCCTGCAATTATATACAGTACATTTTAACTGTTTTTTGAGTTAATGGAATTTAATTAATCAATAAATTAATAAATAAAAAAATAATAAAATAATAATAATAATTAATTAATAAATTAATTAGATTATGAGATTGTAATTTGATTTGTATTTCAACAGGCTATTACTTATTGTTTTATTTGTTCTAAACAAAACTAATGTTGTCTTAACTTCTTTTTTATGAAGTATTCAATATTTATTTATTTTATGCCTTCCCCACGTTTATTAAAATATTATGTTGATTATGTATTTCCATAAACTTAATAAGTGTTACCTTAGGTATATTAATAAATAATAATATTCTGTTTGACAAATTTTCTCCGTAATAAGGTTAAAATTAAATAAATGTTAATTAATGTATATATATAAATATATATATGTGAATTGTTGAAACTTTTAACATAATTGGTGTAAAAAGTATAAAATTTTTGTATTTCCCTCGTTGTTTCTTTTTTATTTTTACTCCACATAATATTTCCGCTGCAGCACGTAATTCAATACACTCAATAAAATTAAATCAGGATCAGAGTTTACAATTATTTCATTGAAAATGTGACATTAGTACGACATTTTATATTTGACACAAGTATACGCGCTGATACGAGTATAAACACTAAAAATTAAATTACTATTTTAATTATAGTTCAAAAATCGCTCACCTGTGATTAAGAAATATACTGGAAGATATAAAGTAGCTGGATGATATGAATATCAACAAGAAGAGCTTGACTAGACTGATGAGCACCTGGTATACGGCAACCAATATCATAAGTATGATGACGCAGACGGTCATGTACTATGGAAAAACAAAACCCCATACGTTAGCTCGTCGCAACAACGAGAATACAGTTATAATATGAACTCCACGGTTCGGTAGATTATCAAGTGAACAATATTTACATTGAACAGTAGGTGGCAAGTGGTCTCCCGCATTTCCGGGTTTTCGGCGACTGACACGTCGGTTCCGTTTCGGTTTTGTTCGCTGAAGCACACCTCCAGTTTGTGTTTGATCTGAAAACAAAAACCCAATGCGATCGTCGGTTTAACTTGATCGAACTCTTGCATGATGCCGAGGCAAATGTTTGCATACCAATGGCGTCATGGAAGTCAGAAAGCAACAGACGATTATGGTCAAGGCCAACGATTGAGCTATGGACCGATTTTGGTTGATTGTTTGCGACGCTTTTTTCAAGGGTTCAGTGATCTCCTGAATGGACAGAAAAAAACAAAAAAAAAAAAACAGCTTGGCTTAACCAAATCATCGTAAAACTATCGGGGGGGGGGGGGGGGGGGGTTTGGAGGCATTCGGATAGGCGAACCATCAATTCATTACCATCAGTCGATTGCGAAAAATCACGGCCGCCGACAGAACGATCGTCAGCCAACCGACTATAAGGCATCCCAGCAGCAAATACGATCTGAAAACGAAAAATGTAAACAAACAATACATAAAACAATACATGCGATCACGGGAAACGGGATTTCGTCGGGAGGGGAAAAAAATATCAACGACAACGGTGGATTCGAAGCTTTCGCGCTCGTCATATACTCACAGCGGAAGGATGATCACATGGCCGGCGGTGATGGCCAGGTAAATGCAGACCGTGCACGTCATGTACGAGTAGAGCATCCGATCGGGCACTTTGCTGTACTGTGAAACAATTACAGACGCGGTTATCGATCGTGTCACCAAATTTAGAGACTACGGTCGTATGACAGTCAACCAACAACAATAAAACTAATGTTTATAAGCGATATACAAGGGATAAGATAAATTGTGATTTGTTTCTCGTCACTTGCATTTCGTACGATTTTATACTTTTAATTTTTTTTTTTTAATTCAATTAAAATAATTAACACTTGTTATATTGTTAACAGCATTATGTTACTGGTCTTTGTGTCAACAAAAAAGTTTGGAAGTACTGCAATAAACGATGTCTAGGACGGGCTCATACAGAGAGAGTAATATACTTATTAATATTAGATAAAAAAAACACCACAGTAATTTACCTAATTCGTCAAAAATTTAAATACTGAAAACCGTTAACGTGTTGAAAGGTTTGCTGAAAATGCACAGAGTTCAACACAAGAGATGTTAGAAAATTATGTAAGTTAAATTACAGTAAAAATTTAGCAGTTTATTAGAAGACATCAACAATAAAAAAAAAGAAGGATCATGATACAATTTCACAATTTTTAGTTACATTACTATTCACTAAAACTAGAGCTATAACCAATTTATGAATATTTAAATAAATACGCTCGAAATGTTTAGTAGGTACCAACTTTAAATTATTTTATTTGTTCGTATTTTTAAATGTATACATAGGCGGATATCAAGGGGGACTTTGGGGGCTTAGATCCCCCAAATATTTTAATAGCCCCCCCCCAAAAATCGAAACTTTGTTAGAAATTTTATTCGTTGTTTTATAATTTATTTATAATTATCTGTTCATTTTTTTTTTTGAAAATCATAAAATAAGAAATAATAAAAAACTATTTACAATAGCACTAACAATAGCAATAGTTCGGTCACTTGCGAAATAAGTTTCAGTGCAATGAAAAAATAAAAACTTGGTTAATGATATTATTAGTTCAAAATAGGTTCAACAATCTTTCAATACTATACATTGAAAAAGATATATCGAAAAATATAAAAAGCGATGATATTTTGATTATCTTTGCTAATACAAATAGTTATTTGTTATTAAAATAAAATATTAATTATTTTTAAATATACGTTATTTAGTGTTTTTTTAATACAATTTAAACATATCTATATTTTTAATGGTAATAAGTTTTACTTGTGTATGGGAAGGGGGTGTGGGGGCGAAGCCCCTGCGGGTTATTTTACATTGAATTATTATAGTCCCCCCCCCAAAAATTCAACCAAATGTCCGCCTATGAACGTATACATTTTTATTTTTTAACTGTAATTTTTTTTGTACATCTTTTTGAATAATAAAATCTTATTAAATTCATAAATTATTACAAAATTTTAATTTATTAAGCAATCCGTTGATTTGACCAACGATAAAGTTATCCACGATAAATTTACGACGCTCAATATTGTCAAACGAGAAATTAGATGGATGAGATAAATCGAAAGAATAATGTTATTATACCGATATATTATGAATACTTACGATTTGCTCGATGCTAGGGTCACGGAATTTCAACGTGATTGGATAGCAGTACTGGGATTTAAGGCGGTCGATACTTCTAGCGTCGATGGCGCACAACAGGTACTCGTCTACCTCGCCGTTGTTCACCTCAGGCTCGTCTTTGCTACGGGAAAAATATAAAAACTAATAATGAAGCAAGTACGTTTATTTTCTTTTTTTTTTCACGAATTTCCTAACGAAAAATTTTTAGATTAGGTTTTAAATTTACATCAAATTCTTACCGTAGCACAAGGAATGGAAGTGAAAACAAAAAGTGTCGAAGAGAGCTTTGATTACAACACGTATATGGTGTAAACGCATATGAGTGTTGTAGTGGAAAAAATTAAAATTAGAATGCGCATCGATTAAAACTTTTTATATCTTATTAAAATAAATAATATAGAAATCTGCTTGTCTCAGGGTTTCCCAACCGGGAGAACGTATCCTCTAAAGGGGCGTGAACAAATTGCTAGAGAGAGAGTCGTTAGCTGTCATAACGAATTGTATAAATTTGTACTATCAATAAAAAAAAAAAGAAATAACAGTCATTATGTATAATGGTTATATAGTTCATTTGCAATGTGTATACATATATATATATATATATATATATATAAAAAAAAAATGTTAGGTAATTTTTTTCAATTGATGTGGGGGAGGAGTGTGATTGTTCAAAATCTACAAGCGGGCGTAGAATAAAATAGGGTGATCATCACTGGTTTAAATAAATCGTGTATAATTCGTCAATGTTAAACGATTCGTTTACATAATATGCAATGTAAATAGTTAAGAAATCGACCACCACATCGAGTTTCTTTTTGTGGAAATAAACTTAGAATATTATTAACTCAAATTATGTGCATATAATTAAATATTTCATAACTTTGAGTGGTTGGCGTCCATTAATTGTTTCAGTTTTACGATTTGCAATTGAAAGTATTTACGGTGTCATCATAATTATAATTAACCTATTAATAATTAAAAAAATAAATAACTTTTTATTAGTTATAGCGACTGTTGCGTACAACTATTTACACGGGTTTATTCGAAATCGATTTTCAGTTATTAATGTTTACAATATATAATTGCAGTGATAAAATCCAATCTGTTTGAAATCGTTAATAAAATATTGAATTGTTCTGAATTCTATATTTCTATGATTGCCACTGGACATTATTTGTAGCGAGAACAAATATAGGACGGTCAACAGTGTCCAAAACTTTAAGACTAGTTATTATTACTTATGGCCTACATGGCACATCGTGAACCTCGACAACACAAGATTAAGGGAAAACTTTCTAACAAGCAAACTACACACATTTTTTATAAGAAATTAAACTCGTAAATTATGGCAAATTATTAGAGAAGTTATATTAGTGGAAATTGTACATGTCAAGTTTGGTTTTCGTTCTATTCTTACTTTTCAAATTGTTGAATGATAGTACAGTACAATGCTTTTTATGCGTAGAGATAAAACTTTTTCGTGGAAGTTGAACAAATTCGATCATAATTCAGCGTCACGATTCGCATTTATAACTGCAGCGCGATTTTCTACCCGTTCGAGCGCAAGAAACTAACAGAGTTTTCCACGTTTTGGACGGAAAGAGCGATGTCAAAACAGCGGTGAAAATTTATTCAAACAAAACCGTAGGGCTTTAAATGTTTATATACAATATGCATACTCTCGTTAACGCCAGAGACGATTTCACATAATATTTTATGATTCACTTACCCACCAAAAAATTAGGGATGATTGCAATTTAAAATACGTAGACATTTGCACTTATGGTAGCCAGTAAGAGATAAACGAACGTCTTGACGATTTTATGACTGAGCGATTGTAAAAACATATAAATAACAGATGAATAGATACAATCACTTTTTTTGAACAGTACCACGACGAAAATGTAGTTTTGAAATGTAATTTCGTCATGGGTATGTATTATTACCAATTCTTGAACCACTTGTTGAAAAAAAGTCTAACCAAATCTGGTTGACGCGCTTTACTTTATCGTATTATTAATAATAACCGTATCATCGGTAGAACTGTAGTGAATTCGAGTACACTGCGGAGTAGCTTCCACTCGTCTACGAATGTTCGACATTGATTTCTCGTAGATTTATGTAATGCTTAAATGTTTAAGCACATACAGTATCGACAAATTGACGACAAGGCTGTAAGGGATACCAGTCGCACGTATATAAGGTGTCTGCATAATATTATATCAGTGTAGTTACGACGCATTCGCTTAAGTTATCCATTACGTACGCTGAGGCACGAGGGGGGCATTTATTGAGGATGTGCATTTGTATGCGGGTTTAGCGCTGACAAAATTCATTAGGACATGACCTTCCTAATGTGTGAATCACGAACACTTTGACGCACGATTATTTATCAAGTGGTATTGTTATAACCTTTAACGTGCAGCGGTCCAGATTTACGACAGCTTCGTATAACGCGCTGGGTACAATTTAAATATCTGTGTTCCTTTATGTAGACACCATTCGCCTACATCTCGATTAAATTTAAACTCGCAGTTGTTGTCAGTATAATAGGAACCACTGCTAATGGACGAAAAAAGATTTTATTATTTCAGTGTGTTAGGCGATGAAAGTATCACGGTATATAAATACACCGTTTGTCCCGTGCGGATTTGAAATTTGAATATTTCATTTTTACAACACGTATTATACATGTATATTTTTCGAGGAAAAATATGCATGATGAATGAATACATATGTATAAATATGCATTTTAATTTCGGAACTTGTCAACTTATAATCGGCATAAAATTGAATGAAATTTATTACATATTTTTCAACGATATACTTTACCATGAAAATGTATTATGACGTTGGTTGTGTCCCATTATTCTGAACTCTTTAGATATATTGCCATTATGAGCGTGCCCAGGACTTTGTTTTTTGTAATATTGAGATACCTAAATAACAATAAAAAAACATAGTCGGTGAATAATTTTACAATAATATACCTATTTATTTTAAATGTTTAAAATAATTGTAACATGTTTTCTACAAATCCGATAACTCATGGGCCACAACCGATACCGAAAAAGCCAATATCTTTGCCAATCACCTTGCTAGCGTCTTTAAGCCACATAATATTTATCCAAACTGAACCCAACTAAAAATAATCGAACGTTCTTTAGAATCCGCCCTTCCTATGGCTTTTCCTGCCAAGCACACTATTCCAGGAAAGATTCTTTACAGTATACAAAAACTTCCAACCAAAAAAGCTCCAGGGCACGACCTGATAAGTAACCACATTGTCAAAAAACTCCCAAATAAATCTATTATCTTCCTCTCACTAATCTTAAATTCCTTAATCCGCTTATCTTATTTTCCGACGGCCTGGAAATACTCCAACACAATTCTTATTTATAAGTCAGACAAATCCCTTGAACTTCTCTCGTCTGATAGACCAATTAGTCTCCTCTACACCTTCTCAAAAATATTTGAAAAAATTATTCTCAAAAGACTGTTACCACTCTCAGAAAAATCAAACATCATACCTAGTCATCAATTTGGATTTAGGGCCAAACACTCCACCATCCACCAACTTTTTCGCACCGTCGACTTAATCTCCTCTAGCTTGGAGTTAAAACACTACTGTGCAGCAGTTCTATTTGACGTAGCTCAGGCCTTTAACAGGGACTGCCTCGATGGGCTCCACTATAAACTAAAAAAGTTTCTCCCAGTCCCATATTACCTTTTTATTAAATTATATCTTAAAAACCGTAACTTCTCTATTCGATTTAACAATAGTTACACAGAAAATTTCCAAATCCTAGCTGGCGTTCCACAAGGCAGTGACATAGCTCCTTTTCTTTACACAATTTTTGCTCACGATACTCCTAAATCTTTTTACACATCTCTGAGCACCTATGCTGATGACACAATAATTATGGCCTCAAATAAAAATCCCCAAATCGTTACCGATATGTTACAAAACCATCTTCACATGATACAACTCTGGTCCCAACGCTGGAAGATAAAATTAAATGAATCGAAATCATCTTTTATAACTAGGGAACGGATTTGAATGCAAATTGCATTTTTTCTGAATGTCCGAAAACATTGGTTTCCAAGCAAACAGTTCATTTCATACATCAAAAAATTAAAAAATGTAACTTTTATTTTGCATTTTTTGAAATTTTTAGTGCATTTTGTGGTTTTTAAGTCATTTTTTCAACATTTTTTCCACATTCTTTCTAATAAAAATTAAAATACCTAAATATGTATTATGTTACGAAATTACGAAATTATTGTTGACACGTGTAGACACAAATTTCAAATATTTTGGAAGGAAAAGCAACATCTCGAAATAGTACAATATCTGAAGAACCAACTGCTGATGATATGGCTCATATGAAGTTTGCACCTATGACGTCAGTTGACGTGGAACGAAGTTTCTCGAGATACAAAACAATACTGGCCGATAACCGTCGAAGATTGCTGTTTGACAATATTAAGCAGCACCTGATTATACAATGCTATGAAACAAAAGGTAAAAGTATAACGAATATACCTATCTAAATGGTATACCTATTAATTGTTTTATTTTTTAGGGTAAAAAGAAGATGGTATGATATATATATCAAGATAATTGAAAGTTAATTAATTAAGGTTGTATTGTATTTAAATATTTTTTATTTTTTATTAGAATTTTCATAATTATGTGTTTTTTTTATAAGTTTTAAATTCAAAATTTTGTTTTTATTGAATATAAACCCATTTTTAAATTTTTTAGGACATTTTTTTAGTGCATTTTTTTATGTTAAAGAATTTTTTAAGGCATTAAATCGTATTTTTTTAAGGCATTTTTCTTGTTTTTTAGAGAATTTAAATCCGTTCCCTATTTATATCATTTTCACTAAGACCGCAAAACTGCCCCCCCAGTCTCACTAAATAACAATACTATCCTAACAACCTCGGCAATAAAGATCTGGGCCTGACGCTCGATAGACGCCTTACATGGTCTCAACATCTTAAAAATAAAAGAAAGACAGTAAACTCCAGACTACATCTACTTCACCCTCTCTTAAGATCCGAACTAACTACCAGCAACAAACTTTTAATCTATAAAGCCATTATCAAACTAGTGTGGTCTTATGGTATCCAATTATGGGGCTCCACCAAACCTTCCAACTTAAGAACTATCCATACTTTTCAATCAATATGTCTCCGCTAAATCATCTCTGCCTCCTGGTATATCAAAAACACTGACCTACGAAACGACCTTAAAATTCCAACTCTGTCCCAACTAACTAAATCACACTTCCGTTCATTCCATTCTAAACTAGCTCAACATACAAGCCCGCTAATCAATCGCCTTTCCTCCCTCGAAAATCCTGTCAACCCTCTAAGAAGATTAAATCGGACTCAGCCTAGAGATCTATTAAAATAATCTGTCGGGTGGCACTACTGAGTGCCCTCCCATTCTCTTAATTCCTGTTATTGTAAAACATATATAATAAAAATTACTTAATGTACAAATTGATACAGATTGTAATTATTTCCTTAAAAAAAAAAAAAAAATGTTTTTTAAAGATCAAGAGAAAAACATTGAGCAAAAAAATTAAGAATTTCAAAAAATAAATAAATCAAATAATAAAAATTATTTGTTTTCACTTAAATACGAAATCTAAATTGTTCTCTAAAATATAAAATTGATCCAAATTCGTTGATCAAACTACAGAACTCAATTTTAAAATAATTGTATAATTTCTACGGTACATAATACATTTATAACATAGAAAAGTTAAGAAAGGAAGGGAGTATCAATCAAAGATTACTTTTACGAACCAGTACATTAAATTTTTGTTGATTCTTAGAATTAGTTTCATCGAAAGCTATATATATATACACTGAAACTACAGATTGCAATCATCACCATTAATAATAAAAATATCCAATTCCCTTCAGTTGCCATTTTTATGTTGCTTGAATGATTCCACTTAAATATAAATGGCAGAATCACTGTGAATTATGAATTTTTTTTAATACTACTATGGAACTAAAATATATTAAATACGACGTGGGCAAATTGTACAGTTTTTCAACGCAGCATGAACATCAATACGGCAAAATTTTTATATTTTAAAGGAATTGCACGATTATACAAGAAGTATGATATTATTATGGAGCTGTCTGAGGAAGTGAAGCGTGGAAGTATTTTTTTAATGGATTATTTGTACATGTCTGTCATATAAAAATTTCTACTGTTGAATGATGTCTGTGAACAGGGATTTCAATGATAATCGTTTAAAATATTGTAATATTATTTTGTTTTTAACCCTTTTAACTTGCAACGTTTAAATGTTTGATGTTTGATTTATAAAATATTGGAAAATGGTTTTACTGATTCTTTTTTCTAATATATATTCTATTTATATAATATGTGCGAAAATAAATAAATTACATTTAAATTTTTTTTTTTCATAACGCGAACTGAAGAACAAATTTTGACATGGTTAAATGTGTAACTAATTGAATGTATACGATTTTTGTATTAAAAAATTATTTTTTATATATATTTTATTTATTAAAAGAGATAGTTATACATTTAACTGTATTTTAAGAAATGTAGAAATCAAATCGAATAAATTAATATAATTTGAAATAATTTATGAATTTTAAATTATATTAGTAGGTATGTAAATATTGAAAAAAACAAATTTCCAGAACTTTTGACACCTTGAGAAAATTACTATAAATGTTATTTATACATGTTATAGAATCGATTAACTTTATCGTAATTAACTTTAATCTGATAATAGAATAGATATATTAATATGGTCTAATAATCGTAAAGGTATTGACAATTGGTAGACATTATTTTACAAAGTATAAAATGCTTATTGATACTATGTTTACTATGTTAATTCAATCGATACTAGTATTAATTTTATAATTGAGTAATAGTTAATAAACGATAATAAGACATATTTTAATGAATAAAATAATAATTTCAGTCACATAATTTATTAGAAAAATGAGATGGATAGGTCATTTGTCAAAGGTAAGTTGCACGATCAATTATAGTCTGAATTTTTAATTTTTTTCATTATAAATAAAGAAGTAAGATAACAAAATATGAAATCGTTTAATCTAACATTGTTCAATGAACAATTTTTCATATTTTAATGACCGAGTCACTTAACTGGAACTTTGTGATGCTTGTATTATTATATCAAGTAATTTTTGTTTACGAATACTAACGATGAGGACCTTTAGCGGTAATTAAAAGAAGAAAAAAAATAGCTTACATTAGCTTAAAATATTTATTTTAACATTGTGTATTATTTATCTATACCACCCAACAATCTTTTAATATTTATGTCTTGGAATAAAATGTACATTTTTAAATTTATTTTTCTAAATATTGTCACCATAAAGTTTCTTTTATTTATTTTTGTTGCCGTACTTTTCAGTTTTAGTTTGAAAAATTTGTTCAAATGGAAATTTCAGCACAGCAGCTACTGAAAGTGCGTTGCTAGTGGTCTAAATAATAAATATTATTATAATAAGATTTCGAGAGAGCTGATTATCATTATTGCACGTATTTTAAAATATTCACCAACAACGGCAATGCAAACCGGACCACGCGATATTGAAATATAGCAACAACGTATACAATTGTGTACGAGCGAATTACTTACATAAGTCATTTCCGGCGGTACTATAAGATATGTTTCAATGTTGTGGTCCTTAAGAAACGTATTACGCTCACCACCATTACCGGGTTCCACTTCGTAAGCGTTACCCAAATACTTGAGCGTGTCCGCAGTAATATGTATTCTCCTGTACATGTCAAAAACGACGACGATAACGTTGGTATTTTAAGCAAATAGTTACATAATAACATGGTATTAAAAACGGAGGAAAAGCAATCGATCATACCCAGGTATTCCGCCGCTTTCCATTTGATTCGCTAGCGTCACGTCGTTCGACCATACGTCGAACTGCCATTTGCAAAGTCCGAGTACGCCGCAGTGCACTCGACCCGAATGTATTCCCACCCTCATATTGACGTTGACGTCCATAACATCCCTCACCAGACTGGCGCATGGATATAAATAAAAAAATACAATTTTTTTTTACATTTTATTTTCTCACGAGCCATCTTTTGTATCTGTGGGTAAAGCAGGCACACTCACGTGATCGCGTCGATCATGTCCAAGCCCATCTGGACGCAACAGTTGGCGTGGTCTGGTCGATGCTCGGGCAGACCACTCACGCAATAGTAACAGTCCCCCAACAGTTTGATGCGTAAACACGAGTTTTCTTGAGCCAAACGGTCAAATCTACAAGTACAAACGATGATCAAAGTCTTATAATATTATCTGCGTTTTTCGTGACCCATGATACAGAGCCGCCGAATTCGTACTGGGTATAATGGGCAGAGGCGGATCCAGGGGGGGTACAGGAGCACGTACCCCTCCTGTCAAGTGGGATCTAAAAAAAATGACGGGGAAAATTTTTATATTTTTAAAGCTTTCATAAATGTTTTATTTGAATAATTTTTTTTTATGTACACTATAATTTAAATAATTTGAAATTGACATTAGTAAATATCTTAGTATAACTTTACGGTCTTTACTATTTACTTTTAATATTGTATTTTTCTATTGTCGGACTCCGGAACTCCCAGCATATCACCATGCGTCGGACTGCCGGTGTTATCGCTTTTTTTCCGATTGTTATAATTTAAAAATAAATTTTACAAGAATGATTATTGTGCCCCCTGTCAAAATATTCTAGATCCGCCGCTGTTAATGGGTATATGGTGTGTAGTTAAATTAAACGGTTCACTTAATACATAATATACCAATTTAATTAAAAAAAGTAATCATTTCGAGTATTGTGACTGACTTATAATTAGTAGTGAAGTACTGAAATTCATGTTCCTTGAATAATGTATTGACGAGGTGGGCTGGGAAATAAAAAGTACGAATTGCACAGCATAATTAAAAAGAGTTCGGCGCTACTGGCGATGACAATAAAAATAGTAATTTCAAAATTTCGACGTTTATTTTGGTACTCACCTTGCAAACAATTCATTAAGTAATCTTACAAGCTCCTGAGCCGTGCACTGATCGGACAGACTAGTGAAACCACAAATGTCCGCAAACAGAATGCTGAAAATAAATATCAAATAAACGTTTGTTGCAGTGCGATCACTCCGATCGAAATTGATAAAGGTATTTGAAATTAAACACTACGACGTAATTTTTCCGAATTAAAACAGTTACCTACCAGTATAATTATTATATTAATGCCTTTAAAACGGTAATGAAAATCTAACACGTTTTATAATACGTTTTTCATTTATTAAGGAAATTCAAAAATATGTAATATACGGACATTTAAAATGCTGTACATAAATACTTCACTCGCGCGTCTTGTTTTAATTTTTACTGAATTAACTAATTAAAAATATCAAATAGTTCGCGCAATTATGCCCAAGAATTAAGCTGTATATATATATATATTATATTATTCTGCTGCTACACAATTACAAAAACGATTCCAACATTATAATTTTATACAGTTGTTTTAGTCAACAATGTTACTGCAACTATGCTATAGTTTGTCGGAGCAAATTTAGTAAAAATTTTTTTTTTTTTTTAGTACTTATCAGTTATAGAACACTACTATACGCATGTACACACTGCGAAATTTACGGTTTAATTGAAAATTTGCTAATATTATTAACATAATAGATATAAATTGTTATAGTATATAGTTTGTTGGTCCTAAGTTGATTCGTCGTCGTAAATTTACGAAACAAAAAGAATCGATTGTTTTGTAAATAATACTTTGTGTATACGTTCTATATATATAAGTATTTTCTGATCAACTTTCAGAGTTCAGGAGAAATTCATATCATTATAATGTTATTTTACTGCGAGGTTTACGAAACAATAAACGGAAAAAGATAATCAACATAATATAATGAATGTTGAAAAACATTATAGAATCTGGCATGATAATAATCGACTAATTGCAACGTTATAATAACATTTTAAATATGAAACTTCAATACGTCTTTATATCGAGTGCTTTGTAGCTGCTTTACGATTTTCTTAGAGCGTAAAATCTATACGTGACACCTATACACCGTGATAAATAATTATTATAATAAACAGTACGGCCTCATTACTGGCGAAATCAATTCCGTTTTAAATATATACCTGACGTTCTCGTGTTTTTGTATGTAGATTTTGTGGAACATGCTGTCGTGGCGTTTACCAGCGATGTCGGCCTTCATTTCCATAGCGACATGCCGGGGCAATACTGACAAAAGCAGCCTTTCCTGTTTGTAAAATACACCAACGTGTGAGGGTGGTAATTTTTTTTTCAAACTTGATTTTGTTATATACCTGTTGTTGATTAACTTTTTGCATAGCCATTCTTGCCTGGACGCATTGTCTGGTCTCTAAGAACGCTTGTCTTTTCGCCACTTCGTTAGGGTAATGCATCATCACACCGGTCACATTTGTGCACGCCAACAGCAGTAAATTTATGAGACTCTAAAATTATAAATAGCGTTGAATCAATTGATATATATATATATATATATATATATATATAACGGGGTCAAAAGTACAGGGTGTCGGTATTGATAATACGATGTCGCTTCTTATCGAATAACGTTTTTCGCGTCAAACGTCTTGCGAATGTCGTCACTGCGGTATAGACGACAAGCGGGTCGAAAGACAATTGTTTTAAACCATGCGTTAGATACACAACTGATTTTAACCTTTTCATTACAGCTTTGTGTACCAACTATCGTTGGGTTTTATGATGATATCCAGACAATACCAAATTATGATGAATTCATTATATTCACATATTTTTTTTTTTTTAAGTCACGATATATATATATATATATATATACAAGGCTGGGCATTAACGAGTTAAAAGTTAAAATTAAGTTAAAATGTTAAGTTAATTTTAATTAAGTTGATTAACTCGTTAATTTTTTTTACAAATTAACTTTTAACTTAATAAGTTACTTTTTTTTTAAGATTAATTGGTTAACTTAAGTTAATTTTATTTAAAAATATCTAAATTAAGTTAATTTTAGTGCAAAGAGCAATGCAAATTATTAAATGAGCTTTTTAGTATATTTATAATTTACTATTTTATTATGAATTTCCTGTAGACGAAAATAATATGAAAAATAAATTTAATAGTTATTATATGGTCTATATTTTATCACTATATTTTTATAACATTGTTAATGTATAAACACTATAAACCAATGGAAATCCTAAGAATATTCTGTGTAAAATAGTAAATACCATAAGAGCGAGTGTCGCGGGGGATTAATCACAAAACAACTGTGGTATAATTTCCAATTTAATTTCATTATTCAACTAGCATGTGTTCTGTTTACATCTCGTTAGAATTTATAATATATTGTTATTAGTTTATTACTTTATTAGTTTATTATATTTCTGTGAAAGTTTATTATTTCTTTATTAACTATTTTATTTTTTAAATAACAATGTTACTTTACTAAGTTACTATTAGTAACTTTTATGTATCATTTTAAATTGCCCCTGTAATTTTCTTGAGCGTTGAAAAACTAATATTATGTGTGCAATTTTTTTATTTTTGCAAATTATAAAATTTTAACTATAAACTACGTTAAGTTACTTTTTTTTCAAAGTTAACTTTTAAATTAACGAGTTAACGAAAAAAATATAAGTAACTTTTAATTTAACTTAATTTTATGATATTATTTTAAAATAGATTAACTTAACAAGTTAAAAAAAAATCGTTAACTTGCCCAGCCTTGTATATATATTGTTTTATTATTTAAATCACCTGTATCGATAGTTCGTGTTCCATAGTCAAGGTCAATATTAACTGCGAGAGCATGAACATGGTCCCGGCCACGACGGCGTACTGCAACTTGACCGGCAGCAAACTGTAAGAAATGTAGACGAACACCAACGTGGGCACGGTGACTGCTTGGGATTTGATCAGCACGCCAAAGGACAGTTCGATCAACAGGAATGTGGCCAGCACCACGTATGAGACGAAACTTAAATACACTTCGTTTAGCCCGGACCGCGACACTATGCCTATAATGACTGCAGGAAACGAATACGAGAAGAAGAAAATAACACGATGAATATTAATTCTACACTCGTATATTATAAATATATATGAGTATATATTGCAATAGCAGTAGCGCTCGGACTTACCTAGGTAAATAAGTATACAACACAAAAGAAGCAAGGAACATTGGACCTGAGTCTCGTAGTTGGACAGCAGAACGGCTATGGCCATGCAAGTGAATAGTATACAGAGCAGCACCAACAAGTGGACCATGTGGCTTTGGTTGGTTCGCAGGAAATATCTTTGGTAGAGCATTTCCACCTGTAAGCGCGATATCAACGCGAATGACGCGCGCGTTAGTAAATTAATATTTATTTCCTATACTGTATACCGAAAATCGATCCGCGTGACGCCTATGTTGTACATTCGTGTTTGATAATTAATTATTAATATTAATTCCGCAAAACTTCTATATTTTACACACTTTATACTTCTGTAACATTTTTTGCTAATGAATACATTTTGGTCTTGCAAGTTATTGACGGAGCGGTTCCGAGTTTACGAAAGTTTTTCCTGAATGCATCGTGCACGTGCACACCTACGGTACTTGTACAGGCACTTTTTAAGGGAACAACTTGGGTGTGATTTTCTTACGTTATTATTTAAGTGTTTAAATTAACAGAATATCATAATCCCGGAAGTCAAAATCGCGGCAATGCTAATTAAAAACCGACACCATTATTATCGAGTGGACGGACAATTTAGTAGAGATAAATTATTCAACAACGTAGAATTTAAATAAAATAATGTTTGTACCCTGGGCATTTTTTAGACTTTTATTTTAATACACTATACATACTAATTTCATCAATAATACTTAGATGTACATATACGATTTATGATTTTATTAATATATTAAAATATTAGATATTTTCATAAAAAATACATTTCACGATACTCCGTTGATTAAAAATATATAATTTATGTTTTTCAGTATTTTACCATTCGAATTTCCTATGAAATATATTGTGAGTACAGAGTATAAGAAAAAAATGAAATAAAATGAAAAACAGAAAAAATGCATAGCACCGGTATAAAGAACATTTCTTGATTAAACCAATTTATTTTAGCACAATAATAAATCGAAAAGTTATTAAAAATATAATATGAATAGGGTACCCTTGGGCAATATATAATAATATTATTTCAACGATTCTTGCGTTCTCGCAAAGGTATATTAAGAATGATTTCAATTTTATTATATAAAGAAGTCGTAAATTTGTTAATGTAATTTGAATTTGAAAAATTGTTTAAACGTAGCTACGAAAATAGTGTTTTAAATAATAGCACTAGCGTTAAAAGTTATTATCGAAAAATTTATGGTTATTGATAAGCTGATACGATTGAACCTTGAATGATTATATTTCGTTCACCACAGCAGCAGAGATATATATTCTAGTGAATCAATTTTCGCTAACGGATATTTAAACAAATCGTTTAGGTTCCGGTTCATCGAGTAATAATACAATTTTTGTAAAAACACGTGGAATCAATCTAAAAAATATTTTACGGTTAGCTAAGTGAAAAAAATTTCAATAAAAATAACGTTTGCCATCAGAGTTTATTGTTGAAACGGCGCAACGTCGAGACGTTATAAATACAAATGAAATAGTAAACGTTGAACGCCTTTTCGGCAATGACCGTTTTCGACGGGACCTCTTTTCTTTTCGGTTTATCGGTTTAAACGGTAGTGATGACAAAAAAAAAAAAAGGTACTTTATAATCGACTCTTGCCGTTTGTTAATGTACAAAATCTGTTCAAAAAGCATGGTGATTTTTTGGCGGGGGGCGCGATAGAAGAAAATCCTATGCTATTAATTATGTCGGGTTTTCCGGGCGGGAGAAACGTCAATGTACAATTGAAATTCGTCCCAAGGGCGAGACGGAGAGAGCGAGGAAGAGGAAATAAAATAAAAACAAAACGGCGACAGTAAATCAGTACTCACCTGCAAGTTGTTGAACTGGTGAGACGACGTCAGCAGCGTGGTGATTTTCCGGCAACACCCGAGCTCGGAAAAGTCGCGCAGCACGTCTCCATTGTCGTCGGCCAGACCGCCGGTACCGAACTTGCAGTTGGGCGACAGCGAAACCCTCTCGGACGCGTCCGGCTGCTGGTCGGATTCCGCGTAATAGTTGACCGTCTCGCTGGCGCCGCGACTCTTCAACACGACGCGCGCATCGTTATTTTATCCGTCGCGACAACGTTTTTTATTCTCTCTCTTTCCCATCACGCGCGCCCGTTCGTCCGCAGACCGTGCGAATCTCCTGGCACGATCCGTTCGACGCGTCCCCCGGCTAAGGCGTCGCACACGTTTGTCTCTCCTGTCGCCGTAATACTATTGTAACGCGCGCGCGCGCACCTCTCCCCTCCCCACCGGACGTAAACGGTAGTACGACGGTGGAGTTAGCGCGCGGTCACGCTCTTCTGCCCGTCGCACCCGTAGACGTAACCCAGCCCCCCTGCCGTAAATCCTTGTCCCGCCAACGGTAGCTACATTTTTGAATCCGAACCGTCGCTTTATTTTCAACTAACAAAATCTTGGTGATTTTCTTTATTGGCAAACTGTTACACTATTATTATATGCGATATCGTACGGTGTGAAGTATCGTGCCGTGCGGCACTCACAAACTAAAAGTGAACACAAGAATATTCAGAAGAATAAACGTACGGATTCAATTGTTGTAACGTTAACGTACGAAATGGCTAACTGTTGGGTGCGCGGAGCAGATTCCCCCACTTGATTTTCCATCACTATAAAAATGCTAAGGCTGGAGCCCCTTAACTATAAGTTATGTCCATATCAACGCACACGTACGGTGACACCGGCGACTGCAGACCGTGTGGTCCTCGGCACGATCACATAGATGCAACTGGGGTGAGAAGACTTGAGTGGGTTCAGCTCCCGTAAATATTTTCATAGTCGTCTCGGATTAAAAATAATGGATTTCAGAATTTTGTGTTTGTTATCGAGACGAAATCTAATCACCTACGTCTCAACACTCGAAATGCTTATTAAGTTTGATACTTCTTGTTATCCAGTTTATTATGGGTTTCACTCTACTCAGTAGTATCCTATGTCAAATAATTTGGTTCACGAAATCTTCTACTTAAAATTTGAACGGAACAAAGTGATGAGTAACAGCACATCGCTGAATCAGAAATTAGAATATGAGGGTCTGGGGACGTAGCCCCTCCGGGTTCGTATTATCTCGGTATTTATAACCCCCTCCACCAAAAATAAAATGTAACCTTTAGTTTTGCCCATGTACGATTAATGTCTTCGCGAAAAACCAACGGAACACTTTCACCGTACCTACTCTGACTACGGTATAGTATGTGAAAAAATATATGTAATTGTTGGGCGTTGAAAACGTTTGATTCGTCGGACTCGATCGCGCGGACCTCGCCGGGACGACGCAAAACAATCGCACATCGTGGAGTACACGATGTCTGTTCGACTGGCAACGGAACGTTTAAGTATTAGATAATGCGCCGGTGTAACACATGCACGTTTCCAACGCTTGTTTTCTGTTTGCGCAACAATCACGGACGACGCGGCTTATGATTGTCGCCGATTAATCCATCTATACCTAGCAGTTCAACTAGTACGCGTTATAGACAATCATTTCGAAACCCGAAGCTGTGAATCGCATTCGCTTTTCGCGCTTCAATGGAATGTGCCGATCGTTTTTGTTGTTGTTGCTGTTCACAACGGACTATACACCTGTATTACGTCTAAGAGTCAATGATGATAGTGTTACGATTAAACAACTCAAAAGTGATTGTTATTGACGTTCTTACAGTCACTTTTCACACGACAAGAACTCGTTTGATACGATTCCGATGAACGATTTAATTTTCGGTTGAACGTGACGCGAAAACAATAATGACGAAACAAATTTCAAATGAACATCGGAACGTAGGAAATAATGAGTTATTTCATTGTTTTTAGATTCATTGAAATAAAATGTTATGATTCAATTGTAGTCTTGCGGGGGTTAAAATGTTGAGCACAATTACAGTTGTGATTCGGGAATAAATTAAATTGTCTATGAATGATGTTCAAATTACAAAATACAATTTATAACTTGCACTCGCAGAACGGAAAAACCGAAATGAAATTATATACCCAATGTTCAAAGTTTTCCAATACTTTGTTGCAAGTGTAATATTTGCTATCAATATTTAATGAAACTCGTTAACGTTAAGAATATCCATACTATTTATATTATTATATTGTATTATTATACTGTGTACGCGCTGTATACGCTGATGGAAAATGTATTTCAAAATTATAATACAATAGCGCATTATAATTTAATGTACATTATCTTTAACAGTTAAATAGTTACATTGAAAGTGAATAGCTGTAGAGTATAGTATATTAGTTATTTGTTCATTTAGAGATAATATTATTAAGTGAAGTTTGCATAATAAGGTAAAATTAATTTACTTCAGTTTTTTTTCTCGTGCGAAATACACGAGATTGCGTACTCGATGCTGTATGCGAAACTCATTACAATCAGCGTATTAAGAGTCAAATGAGTTCAATTAGATCGTACTACGAGGTAATTTAAAGACCCAACAACAGTTAAGATATGTTTGGGTCAACGTGATAAACATAGTATTATAGCAGTTGTGTCATCATTCATAATATTATTGTAACGTACCAAAAAAAACGTATGTACCGCAGTGGTAAACTGCGGGTAAAATATTGTTGAGTTCAAAATTATAGTCTTGTAAAATCGATTCTTGAGATCAACACTTAGCAGAACAGAGGCGAAAACTAGACGATATTATAACTGTTAAAAAACATGGAAAAAGTAGTAAAAAGTACGAAATAGTACGGTAAAGGTAAACTTAAAAGAAAATAAACAATACGTTAACGGCACTATGTCTATATACAGTTGAACTAAACTAATTCGGTAAAATTGAAATACTAAAACAAGTGATATAATGATTTCCGAACTTCTCTAATAAACACACAAAACAATAATCTCAAACATTAGTCATGTAATTATGTACAATTCTACCAACCGTACAACATGTAACAAATAATTATTATAATGACGTTTGCAATCGTTTGGTCGGGCTCACAAGTGCAAGATTATAATAAGCTTTTGGAGTACCTTATCCCGCATGGTTTCGGCACATTTGTCGCTTGATCAGTTTTTTAAATCATTGTTAAAGAAATAACGCACAGAGACAAGAACTAACGATTAAATTATAAACTTCACATGGGTAGCTGAAAAACACCGAGTCAAACAAAGTAATCAATTATTGATAAATCTATTGATATATTATTCTAACGTATTGTGTACGATTTCTTTCTCGTTGAAAAATCCCTGTAATAAACTTATATAGTTTTTATTTTAACAAAATGCCAACAGTTGTGTTTGGAAAAATAAATTATAATTTATTGAACAATCGGCTGATTTTATTCGAATGCAATAACTATTTTTCAATATTAATGTTTAAAGCTGATTTAACAATCAATTTTGCACTAGCACAGTTTTATCATAAAAAAAGTTCTTTGAAGTATTGAAAACTCAAGCAATATCCCTATATTTAAGTTAAACCATATTTACTCATTTCTCACAGTTTTTTAAAGATTTCATTGATATTGTCGCATTTTACCGGTATTTTGTTTCTGATTTCAAATCTAATAAAAAGTTTCTAAGTAACTTTTAGAGCACTCAAAAGATATTTTCCCAAACAATTTCAAGAATCCAATGTATGAGTACATATTCAATTAATTTAAATACAGCATATTGATAATAATTAATTTTGATAAAAAATGAGGATAAAATTAAATTACGGTTCAATTTTTATACTTGGATTTTATATCTGTACTTCAGTCAGACTAATATTGAAATTAATACGCTTATCGTTATACTCAAAATTTAGATTTAAATGGTGTATAAATATTGAACGTTTACATAACTCATAACGTATTAAATTTTTTTTTTTTTTTTTATATCAGCAATACAATAATAATGACATTGAAAACACCAAAATTATTTTCCATTACGAAAAATAATCATTTACCGATATTTAAATTTCATTAAAGTAGAAACATATTTTTAAGAAGTTCATAAAAATAAATAAGCTAAAAATAACACAAAATTATTTTTTTCAATGGCGCTTCAAATTCAAGATGACTTATGACTAGCTATGAAAAATCTTCAATATACCATAAGATATATATTATATTATATTATCATACACGTACAAACATAAACATACGAAAAAGTATACAATATAAAAATACATGTAAAAGATGTATTATTTTTTATTAAAATTTTATTAAAATTGAAAAGAGTTTTTCTTTGTTTTCTATTTTTTTTTTTTTTTTTTGAGAAAACTAATTTAAAAACATTTTTAAAACTTTGAAATCATATTAAGTATTATTTGTATAGGCCAAAATCAACACCGGATTTAATAGAAAATAAATGGCTAACAATTATAAAGTTTCATTTTTAAAACAGATATTATTTTTCTTACGGATGAAACTTTTATAAAATAAAAAGTAATTTTCTTTTTATAAAATTATTGTAAATAATAATGTTATTATTATTATTTTTTTTACTAATTTAATTTATGATATATTTAGTTTAAGATGGTAAAAATAAATCACAAAGATTTTACCACAACGAATTTCTATTTTAATTTCTTATTTTTGAAACCAATTTTGAATATTAGTTTATTTATTGTGACAGCCAAAGAACATATTTTTTCAAAGAAATAATCATGTTTATATTATCTTGATGAAACGCCTCGGCTAAAAAATTCCGTTCTAAATAGGCGGTGAGTTTAATACAATTATTATGTTTAGATAACAATGGCCGTTGCCTTAATTGTTGATTAACATAAACATGGTTTAACCGAACATATATTTTTATTTTATCAATTATTTTACATTATTAATCACATAATGGACAATGTAAAGCTGCAAACACAAGTGTTCTCGATGTATTAGAGAGCTTTCGGTGATAATTTATTCAATAACACGCGAGAATTTCTACTTGTGTATATTCATTGCGTACAACCATCAGATAAAAGTTTACAAAATACACACAGACACTAACAAATAGCATACTTGTCCGTAACAACGTATACAAAAGTATACGTATGCATAAGTTTTCGTGTAAATGTAGCCATCATTGTATTGAAGAACATTTTGATTACTATTCCTGTGTACCTGAATTTTTTTTCTGACAAAGATTCCATAGTGTATAAAGGGAAAGAGAAAGAGAGAGAGAGAGAGATATAAAGAGAGAAAGAAAACTCACTAGCAATGGAGTTGGCGAGTCGGAAGCCGTCGAAAAATGTTGGTAAACTGCCCAATTAGTGCGTCTTTGTGTCTGTGGCGATGATTCCATTTCCGATACGGATTCCTCGGTGGTTTTGCGGTGCTGACGAAGACTTGTCCATTTTTTCGGCGTTCTCTACACGACAACATAACACAATAATTACAACGTTAATATTTAATTAATGATAAAAATATGTCATCCGCAAATAAGTAAAATATATTACAGAAAATTATACGATGGGCTGAATCAAAAACTTCATAACCGTTTTCGTATACGTCTGCCAATAGATACCCCGAGTTAGGGAATTATCGGGTGCAAGGGTATTGTAGAGTTTGTAAAATTATAGAATAGAATATTTCAAAACATTGATTTTTGAAAACCGAAAAGTAAATAAAATTAATAATACATGCACTAGTAATTTCGATCGCAATTAATTATAATATATACCGTTTTCGAATATTTACGAACCTAAAACTATAACCTTGATAAATATATCTGTCTAAGTGGATAAACAATATTCGAACGAAAACGAACAACAGTTGTTGTATTCGATTTCTACTTCAATACATTGCAGTACAACGCAAAAGTATTATTACCGTATACGTTTATGCTTATTTGATTTAGCATAATCTTCGTAGTTCGTCTTATGTTTAGATGTGTTTATTACACGCATATGCAATATTATATATTAATAAAACAATACGCACTATTGAATTCAATGCTTTAGCTTAATTAATTATGAAAATAAGATGGAGGCAAAATCGCGGTTAGTGTAAAATCCACTGTAGGGTAAAATTTAAGCAGAATAATAATCTCTGGAATATGCTGCTCTTCCAGAGATTTAATTCCGGTTCGGTTTTAATCTTTCACCGTCTGACAAATATCTCAGATTTTAAACGATTAAGTACCTAATATTATAATATCGTCGTTTAAAAGTTTATACTTACGGCACAATAATGATTACATTTTTCAATGCACTACGTTCGTTAACGTCCTGATATGCGCACTGAACATTTGTACACCTCATTTGACCAAATTAAAAAAAACCTTATTAAACAACACAAGGCAGTTTTACAGTGATTGACAAGTAACATAGAAATTCGCAGTGTTTATAGCAGTAAGTTATTTCGTTTTAGGTATAGAACTTGATAAGCTTAAAAGTTCTCAACATTTTTTTATTCAAATCGAATATCGAAATATTATAATTTACCAATAAATTCGTATAAACGCGATTGAATTGATTTATTTATTTACCACCACTAATATTTATGTTTTCCTACATAAATGGATACACAGTACACATAGTGTATGTTTACGTAGAACTGTCACGATTTATTGAAATCAGTTAATGGAATGATTGATTTAAAAAGCGAATATATTTTGATTTTCGAAGTTCTTACGATAATAGTGATGATATTTACAGCAGATTTAAGTGATAGTAATCTTTCATTCAATCACATTCAATCACTCATACCGAATATTCGTATTTATTTATGCTTTTTTAAAACATTACCAATGGATTGTGTACAAGGTTAGATGAAAACTTTTTTAGTAAAAGTATTGCGTGAAATCATTCAAGTGTCAACGCCCCGTACAAAAGTTATCGAGACCATCCATAATTTGACTTCCCATTTAAGTTTTCTAATGAATGACTTCTTGATAAGAATCAATGTAGAATCAACCAAAGCAATCTTTGAAATATGATAATTGGATATTTGGCTTTAAATAATAGCTTTATAATATTTTACTATTTTTCTTATCTACACAATAACTTTTTCGTTAATAAACCTACTGAACTCAAGATATTTAATGATACATAAAAGCTTTAACAACGAACTTTCAAAGTTCACCACTCAACCCAAAAGGTTAACTCTACTATCATATATATATATATATATATATATATATATGCCTCAATGTCGTTGATTAAAACGGAGGCCCACCTCATTAAATTAGTTGTCAACTACAAAATCTATTATTACGAGGAATACTATTAATTATTTTATTATAACTACTACAAACGTTAATGATATTAGTATACAAATAGACATTTATATTCTTTATATTTATTTTTATAACGTGAAAACTATCTTTATATAATGGTTAAGATTTCATAGACTACTCGTATGTACAAAACCGATTTGCGATGATAACTATAAAATAAGTATTATAATAATATAATATGGAAAAACTGAATATGAAACACTAAAATAATTATAAATTAACTTTTGTAAACAATGGTGAAAACTAAATAATTTTTTAACAAGTTTTTACTGTTTTATACGTATACGAGTATATTATCATATTACGTCAAAATAATATTATCTATATTTTATTCGTTCAAATTAATTTTGAGAAATATAAAAGGAATGTAAAGAAACAAGACTTTTATTCTTAAGCATTCTTAAGCGAATGAGCAATATGTACGTTTTGATTTATGCACAGATTTAATAACATTTACCTAATGTTGATAATTAAACATCAACTTGTTCAACGGTGAGTTATTGTTTTTGTTTCGGCAGACAACACATTACATATACATACATATAAAAGTTTCAGTTCATCGCGCGACCATATTCGTGCAAAACATATAATATATCATATATAATATATCACAACCCAAACGCATAACCTGGGGGTTGCAGTTCCCCCCTCCCGTAAAATAGCCACTGGTTTTATGTTATATACGTATAAATATTTGAATAGAGCGAAATGTCATTGTTGTATTTTAAATTGGTATTTGTTTTTCTGTGTACTCAGGGATTCGAGTTTACCCAATTTAAAATAAATCCAATTTAGCCACGTCTCTAACAACGAGATACTCGAAATTAGATATGTTCGCTAAATACTGTTGAAACCATTAAATCTTGATGTTGGGAATAAGACGATCGTAACTAATCAAATGATCGATATCAATGATAGATAACTTTCATTCCAAGTCTCATTCATATTCAATATTAATCGATAAGTTTCGCAACACAATCATCCACGCGTTTATATAGAATTAAAGTTGACCGTTCTTAATACTGTCGTCTGTAATGAAAAAAAGTACATGGACACGCATACAAAATCGCAATAATGACATCGAATCATCATCGTTACAAATGTTTTCAACCATTAATTTGTAGTAAAAAAATATATACTATTTTAGTAATTACAGCATCCTTCTACAAACTCTTTCAAATACGTGCTTTGAAATTCAGTGTCTCTGAGTTCCAGGCCATCTCTGGTAACGAAGCAGCGGACTCCTTGACCAAAACCGCAGCATCTATTCGACTTCCATCTAGCAATAAATTTCCATAATCTGACCTTTTCCCAGCCTTAAATCTCGCGTCAATCAAATATATAAATAAATAATTATTACAATCAATTACAACTTAATTCTTACGTTAACCTTCCATACAACTTTACTATTCAGTTTAAATTTAGACCACTATTCCATCCAAACCATGGTTCTACAGTTTAAACCTATGCCGCAAGCTATCAATTATTTTTCCCGGCTTCGTCTAGTTCATGCTTTACTTCCTTCACATTCCTTTAAATTATAATTGAATTACTCACTTCTTTTTATCTTTCATCAAACTTCTGCAGTTTGTGACAAAATTCACATTTTGTTAGATTACCTCTTCTTGTCCTTGGAACGTTCTCGTTACTTTTTTCCTCTTTCACTCTCTTAACATCTTACCCGATATCTATTACATGATATCCTCTCATTCTTATATCACCATACTTGCCACTATATCGTTTATCCTTAATTCTGGGTTGCTTGTAATACGTAATCTATATTCCTGGGTTAATTTTAACTATACAAAATCTCAATAATAATAATAATAATAATAATAATAATAAAAAATAATTTAAGTACAAATTACTCATTCAATAGTTTATAATTCATTTGAACTGTGTGAATAGTTGTCATAAAATCGTAACGGTTTCATTGTCGGTGTGCTAAAATGCATATAATTCGATGTAAACTGACTAAAAGTATAAATAATTGATAAATTAAATATTAATTCTATAATAATTATGTTCTTTAATTGGGTTAAGTTAATAAACTACTTTTACAAAATTAAGACGAGTTAAAAAGTAATTAAATTAGTTAAAAGTTAATTAAAACATTTATTCCTTAAGGAAAGTTTTTTTTTAATTACAAAAAGAGTTGAATCAGGATTTGACTATCAAGTGACAAATTTCTAAGAAGCTTCAAAATTAATCAATGCTACCGAAAGACCGTTGAAAAATAAACTTTATTCCGTGCGATGAACGCATAAGTAACAAAATATAATTTGTTTTATTTAAATTCACAATCGAAAAAATAATTATTTTTATTTATACAGCAAGAGATGCGAAACAAGGTAATAATTTCAGAAATAAAATCAGAAATACGGTGTTGAATAAAATTAAAGACTATAAGTATGTTTTATAATCGTATTTGAAACAAACAATTTATAAAGATTTGTTCTGCGAGTAATAATATACTGCTGCGGTTATCGTGCAACATGGAAAACGGTTTTAATAAACCAGATAAAAGAAATGGACGCGCGTTCATTAAAGACAAAAATTCTGAATTATCATTTATCGTTAATATCTGAAGAGTTATTGATACTTGCATGTAAAAAATATAATTAGAAATTCAAATATTTATATATAATAATATTTAGTTTAATATCAACTTTACTGAGATTCAATTCAAAACGAACTCATAATAAAAACAAGAATAAGTTTAATATATTATATAACACATATGTGTGTAATATCATCAGTGCAACGTAGTAGAGACCAATTAAAATTATATCAGATAAGGTGGGCCGCTGTTCCCTGGATAATATGAACATATTTCGTACTTGTAACAATCGTTGAACATTACAATAATAACATACCCAATACGTTCGTTTTATGAGGGTTTATGTTAAAACAATTATACGGGTGGTTGGCCAGTATAAACATGTACTATAAATTCGTTTCACAAGTTCCACTCGATGGAAAAAAAAAAATTTCCAAATTTGATCCGGAAAAACGCTTATTATTCATTATATTACAAGATGTATTACAAATTTATTTAATTATATATAAATTTAATAAATTTATTAAAAATAAAATATTTAAAATGCTATTTAATATTTAATATTTTTATT